TACAGGGGAAGTCTGATGGAAGCTTTACAGTGCTGAAGTTCACAGGCTGCCACTGCATGGGAGAAAGCAGAGAATGTCACGGAGATAAGATAAGAAACTATCCTTGTAAGTTTATCTCTTTTTTTGTCTCCCTGGCAACAGAATTTGTCCTGTTACCTCTGCTGTTTTTTCTTTTTCCTCCCTACTCTGTCCTTCCTCGGCACAGTCTGTGTCATTCCTGATTACCCCCTCCTACCATGGTAAATCTTTAAGATGGCAGCAGATCAGCCTGTAGTGACTCACTGATTATTGGCACAATGCCGATTTTAAATACTGGATTTATTACTGGATTAAATAGTATTGGCACTTATTTGTAATATTTTACATAGCTATACCTGCAAAAGGGGGCAGCATGAAGTCACAGACGCTTAGGAAACAGACAGCCTGAGAGCTAGATATAGCATCCTTGGCCGTGAAAACAGGTGTGTGCAGGTGATGTGGGGGAAAGATTAAGAGAAAGATGATGAAAAAAACTTTATTTTTCAAACGTGAGAGAAAAAATAATACATTCTCTAAACTCAAAAGCAAAAAACAGAGGAAACAAAAAAGAAAAATGAAGAAAGAAATGTAAAGAAAATAAATGTAAAAAAATATATAATAACGACGATATAATAAGACTAAGTATGTAATTAGAAAAAAGTGTAAAAATATGAAATAAAGCAAAAGAAGGACGTATATGTGTATGTTTGTGTGTATTTTGTTATAAAGCATTAAAATAAACCCACTTTATTTGGCAAACAGAGCAAATATTAAAATGAAAAGGAAAATTAAAAGAGTCATTAATAAAAATGTGAAAAATGATAATAGGTGAAAAATACAATAATGAAATACAAGGTATAGATGGGTGACAAATGTTTTTTTCTTTTTGTTTCCTCTATGGGCGGGGAGAAACGCATCAGAGGGCATAGCTGGAGTGACGACTGAGGCCATCCATCACACATAACATTGTTTTCTGACTCCTGGGGATCAGTTTGAGCTGCATTCACCCCTACATACACTTGTAAGGTCTGTCATTCAAAGTCTACTACATTCAAAGCCAAATTTCAAGAGTAAGAGGACACTTGGACAACTTGCATCTTCAGTACTTAAATGCAGCAGGTGGTATCCCAGGACTACAGACTGCAGTTTGGCTCCCTGACCCCTCAGTTTGCTCACCTCCACATTTCTGTGTTACCAAACAGATTAGCAGATCTACATTGATCCTTATCAGGTCTTCTGAATCAACGTGCCATTGCCCCATTTCCTGTGACAGAATAGTTTCAGGGGTTTTTATTTAACCTGTTCATTGTTCCCAAACCAAAAGGAGGCATCCACCTTGGATCTAAAAGTTCTGCATGCCTTCATTTGAAATTGCAAATGGTAAAGACTTATATGCTGTTCCAATTAAAGTGATATCAGGGAAGAAGATTGTTGCACTCACTACACTGATGTACTCACACTCAAAATTAAATAAATGAAACAAATGTGGTGCGCTATCTCCTCATAAATAAAACCATATATTTTGAGAAGATAAAGTAACAGTCCAAATAAATGTGTAACAGAATTATGATAATGAACGTCCAATCCAGTATATATTGTGTTAACATCCAGCAATAATCAACACCGTGCTTGAATTGTAGTCCCACTCCCTGCTCACATTGACCATTGACCTATAAGTCACGTTTAATTTCTGGTTATATAAAATGGTGTTGCACTATGGCATGTTTTTGTTTTATTTTGCACGGATCTGGAATTTAAAGAGGCATTTAAAGAGGCATAAAACGTGGAACACGTCACGGATAAGAAATTTGGAGACGCATTTTCCTTATAAAGCGGTTTTGGCCTATTATAACTTATAGATCAATGGTCAAGGTGAGCAGGGAGTGGGACCACAATTCAAGCACGGTGTTGATTATTACTGGATGTTAACACAATATATACTGGATTGGACGTTCATTATCATATTTCTGTTACACATTTCTTTGGACTGTTACTTTATGTTCTCAAAATGTATGGTTTTATTTATGAGAAGATAGCGCACCACATTTGTTTAATTTATGCCTTCATTTGAGCTCAGAAATTCTGTATAGAATGTAGGTTGTCCCGTCACCATGTAGACTTTCAAGCTCTTGTGAAAGCATGCATACATGTCCCAATCTTATGAGCAAATCTACATTTCTTATGGTTTTGCTGCTGGGTTCTTAAATGACCAGTTTGTGGCCTTGTTGTTTGGGCTCTCATCTGCACCTGCTAATCATAGTGTTACCATTTTGTATTGGTCCTGCTGTGCTTTTGTGGCATCCCCATTGAGGGTCACTTCGATGACCTCCTATTGAGGAAACAATCAGCATGGGCTCTGATGGACAAAGCAGCTTTGACTCTCCAGAAGTTGTCCTGGCAGGTGGACTTCCTCAGCCAACAGTGCCTGGACCTGGAAAAGTGGTCCCTACACCTGGAGGTATTTTAGGATCTGTGTCTCATGTGGGGGACATCAGATGTGGACCTCCAGGTTTAACAACAGACTGGTCAGGTTTGTCTTCTGATACAGAGATCTTCTAGAGGAATCAGTAGATATTCTGGTGGGTACATTGGATCAGTACTACCTGGTCTATGCTTTTCCTCCCCTGAAGTGTATTCCTTGTCTGCTTTGCAGGACAAAGATGGAGGGCATTCCGGTGATCCTCACTGCCCTGCACTGGCCCAGGTAGTTGCTGTGCTGTCTCCAGCAGGTATATCGGTAATACAATTGCACATCTGTTCCCAGCTGCATAAGGGGCTTAGAGAGGTGGGGGTGGAAACTCTTTTTGGTGATAGGGGCCTGGCAGCAGCAGCTTTAACAGAGCACAGACACTGTCAAGTGTAAAACTGCAGAGACAGAAATACACTGTGAGAGCAGGGCAGGGGGGATGTGTCAGCATGAGACAGAGAAATAACAGTGCACTGATCTTCTCAGGCTGTGTTCTTAGATACAATGAAAAGGCGCAAACTGACCATACTGAGATAAATGTGCTTCAATACCTTGGAATGGTCAGTTTGATATAGGTACACAGGGGATCTGGTGGGATCACCAAGTATTTCACACACAGGAAGCAATGCAAAGAGAATAAAATACCTTTTAGCACAAGCACATGGAAACACAAACACGAGAAATATGTAAGGTTGGGGGTAACAAACACTTTAATTGTTTATGGTTATACTTACACCATATGGTCACTGTTTTTACTGCATTCATTTTCTGTGTATCCTCCTTTTGCATGATGTAATTTCCTCCTTTCTCATTATGACTTCGGCTGTTTTTCCAATAAGACACACTAAAGCCAGGAAATAAATATTTCTTTGGACATTCATACCGCATCATATTGTTTGTCTGAACTCGCCAGCATACAAAGATATTTGTGGATGTCAAAATATTTGGTGAGTTCAGCTTTCTGATTGTCTGCAGTGATTGTCTCTGCTGCATTTAGGCCAGGCATAGATGTCTCGGGAAGGTGTAATTCAGTACTGCTACAATTGGCATCAAAATAGATGTGATAAACCAACCTGAAAAGACTCCTGGCAGACACTTCATGAGCTCTGTTAAATAGCCAGGATCTCCTGTCTCACAGAACAGTTTTCCATCCTAGATCACTGTCCCTGGCTTTAACAGTGTGGCTGTTGAAGTCCATTTTTTAAGGGCCGGTTCACACTATATAAAAACGCAGTCCAGATGCATTCTGGATGTGGTTTTACATGAGTGTTTTCTATGCGTTTAATGCATTTTGACAAGTTCCAGTGCGTTTTTATGCACTTCAGTTCAATTTTTCCTCTCTCTTCAATTTAAATAGGAACATGTGCGTTCCAGTGCATTTTTGGTGTGTTCCAGTGCTTCCTGGTGTGTTTTTGATGCGTTTTTACCATGTTCCAGTACAGTTCTGTGCAGAAAAAATGCACTTTTTGGTGTGTTCCAGTGCTTCCTGGTGCGTTTTTGATGCGTTTTACCACATTCCAGTACAGTTCTGTGCAAAAAACATGCAGTCTGTTCTACTTTTTTTTTTCTGCACCCAGAATGCACTGGAACTGCAAGCACTGATGTGAACTATGACATTGACATCCATATAACCTACTTTCTGTGCATTTTGGATGCAGAAAAAATGCAACTGAAACGCATGTAGTGTGAACCAGGCCTAAAGACAGGGACATCTCTGAATCTTAGTTTCATATGATGTTAATAGCTAGGAAGGCATACTTCATTGTGAGTCAGGGCCCCTCAGTCAAGTTTTTCCATGAGACGAATGCTCTCCTTCCTGCAGCTGGGTTCTGATCAGTGTTTATCTCTCAGCATTTTCAAGGGCCAGGTTTCTCTCTGGTCTATCGAATGTTGGTCTTTCACTCCTTGATTTAGAACTGTGTATAGGGTATATCCTATGTAGCTCCCCATTTGTTCCCCTGTGACTCTGTGGGATTTGAATCTGCACTTCAGCCACTATGTGAACCCACTAAAGACATTCTTCTCTCTAGTCTAACCCACAAGAAAATGTTTCCTGTACCCATCACTAGACATGTGCCAGTTGTTTGGTTACAAATGACAAATTAGGACAAAATGTATTTTATTTGGAGATTCAGATATAAATCTGAATCCCGAAATCACAATAGTAACATATTTCAACAAATCAGCAATAAATTATAACAAAAACAACAAATTCATTAGTTTCATTTGTTTGCAAATTCAGAGGGTTTTGTAAATTCAATAATAGGTGTCACACTCTTTATTTTTATGACTGGCCAAAACCAAAGTCACAAGCAATTCACTGAAATAAAATAACATAATAACAAATGATTCTGAATCTGAAAACAACTTTTGAAAATACGAATTGATTCGAAACAACGAATATTCGAAACAAATCTGAATATACAAAATGAATTCCAAAAATGAATCATTCTAACATAAGGAGTACAAAAATGATCCGAAAAAGAAATTATTGACTTAAAGAATAAGTCCGAAAGTAGCCTCCCTGGCGGTATTCCCGAGTGTAGCTCGGGGTAAAGTTTCAGTACCACAAGCGGTAACCCCGAGCTACACTTGGGCTTACCATGCGGTGCTGCTCCAGGATCCCTCGATCACTTAACTTGTCCTGCGCTCCCACGATGTCCCTCCTGCAGTGTCCCCTGTAATGTCCTCCGGCGGATGCCGGCATCTCTCATCTGGGTTCCATCCCCTGCGAGCGTTGGGATGTACGGGGGACGGAACTGGTGGGAAATTTGAAAATGACAAAAAGTGACATTCAATAAATTCACTAAAATAACAGTAAAACATTACTGTATCAAACCATTTCACATACATTTTGTTCCTACTGCTTTGTCCTGTGCCCTGCCTGCATTTTTACTGTTCTTTCTGCCTGGAAACTGAGAAACATTCATGGCGTCCAAAAAGTGTCCCTTTAGGTCAAAATCTGTTTTAGACCAACTAGAGAACAGCGATAGTAAAGTAAAACCACTTGCAGAATTGAGTGATGATTCGTGGGGAAATTCGTCATCAGACACTGAAAACGATTTTGCGACTTTGCTCAGTGATGTGCGAACTTGGCGCTATATTTCAAATTTCAGTGTTTTTGATTTGATTATATTATTGAATTAAATGTATTATTATATTATTATTTTTTATGACTATTTATTAAATTATAATTTATGATTTAGTGTTTCAAATTTTATCATACCCGGGATGTTTACTAGACTCTTGTTCAGACAGATTTCAGTGAGTTATTCCTAAAAATTACAGGCCTACAATAAAAAAATACATATTTCCATGCAAAAAAATGTACCGCTTTGAGCACAGAAATATGGACATAATCAGACCGCTAGGGAGGTTAAACAAATGTTTTGTCATGCATATCTCTAGCCATCACCTCTACAAGGCAAATGTCTGCACTGGTGGCCTTATCCTGCAAGGAACTTTTTGGTTGCATAGGGACATGGTGGTGTTAAGGACCAGAGCTTCCTTCTTGTTTTAGGCAGCCATTCACTTCAATCAGTACATTTTTCTTCCAACCCTCTGTCTGGTTCCATTTCATCAAAATGTAAATTCCTTTAATTGTCTTGATGTGTTTCCCAGGAAGATTGTTTCCTTTTTGTAGTTCTGAATAGAACCCATTAGGGTACTTTGTGTTATCATTCTAACATCTCTAGGTGACTCATGCAGAATATCATCAAAATTTATGTTCTCAAGTATTGGGTGCAACCCCTGACTGTCAAAATGAACTTACTAGGTCTATGAGTGTTTTTGGCACCAAGCATCTTTTTCCAGATCAAAAAGCTGCCACCCGGTATTCTGTTCTGCTACCAGGCAGATATTCAAGTCTCATCTGATTCCTGCTGCAGACAGTGCGCCCATAAAGCAGCTCTTTCAGCTTCAGGCAGTCCCCAGTTTTCGGGGGGGGGGGGGGGGGGGGGGGGGGTTGGTGTTTTTTCTTGGGTCTGTTAGCCTTTGTCACTATATTGCCCACCCTTCAGTTGGACTGCTTTTGGATATCCCGGCAGTCTAATAATTCCTATGACCCTCAATAGGTTCATTGAGGGATACAGGGTCCAACACTCTCCACTGTTCTTTTTTTCATGTTCTTTGTACTGCTTTGCTACAAAACTTAGGCATAAAGGTTGCGGGCTGGGCTATCCTGTGCTGGCTAACATTTTGCTGCCAATATCCATTTCTCCTGTAGTCCCGGTACAGTATTATCCAACAAAAAATATCCTCATTGAACTACACCATTGACCTATCTGTACTTACTGGAGCCCATCTAATTTAAAACTAAATAAGTATTGTGTAAGCTGCATATAGGTTTGTTTACATGTTAGAAAACAGAATGAGCCCTATAATAAAAAGACAATGTTCACCTTGCAAGGGTCAACATACCTCAACTACCACATAACTACATTTACATTTATTGATTTGAAAAAACCTAGAATGTTTTAAATATTAATTATTTTTCGCTACATCTTTTAACTGCTATTATGAATTCATGTGCAGAAGCGCATTAAACATGTCAGACCTACTGACCCTGTGAGAATCAGTCTTTGGGGAGAACATAACTGGCTAGAGTAAGTGGTTTTCACTGAGATTGCGATATTATTAGAAAACACTAGATGGCGCCAATGCTTACCAAAAAAAAATTATACATTGCTGCCACATTACTGCCAACCTATAACAATAGTCAGAATAAATTGTACTGTAATAATGCTTTCCCAGCGCTACTAAAACCACACACATGGTTATTGAAATGGTTTCTAGTAAATCTGAAAAATACTATTTAAAAAAAAAAAATGGGAAATGTAGATTGTGTGTGGTAAAAGAAAAAGGTACATTATGACAAAGGTATGTAGGGAGCCATGGATGATCTTCTAGAAACAATAACTGCTTGCCTGTTGGTGGTTTTAATCGTTTTTTAAATCATTCACCAGAAATCAGGAGCATTGCTAGGGTTTTAAAGGAGCCTCGGTATTCTGGAGCATACTTCTAGGTGTAAATAGTAGCCTGTAAAGAACACCACAGCAGATTACAAGTTACAAAATGCAGGGGTTGTTTTTAAGTGCAAAGGTGCCACCAAAAGCTGAACATTTCCTTTACAACTGTAAAGGAAAGAGAAGAGACTTCTAGGACTACAGGTCCCCGATTGTCAGACTGCTCTGTCTGTATGGATGCTTATGTATTCTCCACTGATTGAGCAGCAAAAATCATGGAGGAAGAGATGCTGCTGAATAGGATTGTGATAGCCAGGCAGTATAGCCTTGTGTAAAAGGCCTGGGGGCAACCGAGTACTGGTAGGCCTGCTTGTCTTATGGGAAAGAGGGTTGCTATATGTGAAGAATACCAACTATAGTGCCTGACCACCAACACTCCAGGGGTTGGCGTGACATTATCACAAGCCATTTTAAAAAAGAAGACTCATTGAAAATCGACAATTCACAGGCTTGTTTATTTGCGAAGGAGCTTTGCAAGCTAACACGCCAAGTCCAGAAACTGTCTCTGCGTGTGACACAGTATAGGAACGCACCTCCAGCAGTAACATAGGAACCACATCCCAATGTTAACCCACCTGACCATTTTTCTAGTGACCCCCCTATGTTTTTTCAGTTTTAAAAACATTGTACAATGTACTGTAAGCTTAGGCCACACTCTTTGTTTTGAAGCTCAGTAGGTTAACTTGATTTTTACATGGTTGCAGGGCAACTCCCAGTCTTGGTCTTTTAGTCTCCCCACAGAAGATCCAGCCCAGAGGCATTTTTCAAGGTCCTGTGTTGACTTAATGATGACTCTGACCATGCCTATTCAGCAGAAACTAACCTTAGGCCATTACAACATTGTAAACGCACCGCTGAACAATACTCCTTTGATTTCCGCCACTGGACACCTGACTCAGGGTGGAAGGACCCAGCTCTAAAAAGCCAGTTCTGGTTAGGCCTATCAGACTCTGTCAAGGACTCCTTAGTACACTACCCTGAAAAAAAAAACGTTGGATGAAGCCAGGCAAGTGGCCATCCATATAGACAGGCATTTACAAGAAAGGTATACAGTGAGGTTTGTTTCCTTGCCCCCCTAGCACTCTGCCCACCTCTTCTCCATCAAGCCTTCCTGGGCCCTCTAAACCTCTGCAGGAGGAGCTTATGCAAACTGGCACTACTCGTTTATCCTCTGAGGAAAAGGCTAAAATAAAATCTCAGGGACTCCACTTATATTGTGTTGGCCACAGCCACTTTGCCGCCAGATGCCCCAATAAGCCAGGAAATGCCAAAAGTCTAATGCGCATGGGGTCTACCTGACTATACTATATGGTGCCAGGCCATCACCTCTCAGTCTTCATAGATTCTGGTGCCTCTAGCAATTTCATTGATAGGGGCCTAGCACACTGACTACAGATTCCCTTCACTAATGTGCATTTCTGCTTTTCAGTTTTAGCTGTTGATAACTCTCCCTTATCCATGGGCTTGGTCACCTTTTGTACTATATCCATTACTCCGACTATTGGAGCATTACATAGGAAGACAATCGGCTTGTGCTTGACAACATCTTTGGCATATACCCTTATCTCAGATTATTCCTGTCGTAAACTCCATAACCCGCACCTAGATTGGGTTCCAGGGGAGATTATGTCCTGCTTCCAGACCTGCCTCCAGAACTGCATTAGAACCAACAAATTACTGGCTCACCTCACAGACCCAGCTCTCCCCACCTGATACACTGACTTTTCTGACATGTTCTCTAAAAATGCCACCTCTGTCCTCCCTCCTCATCCACCATATTATTGTCCAATAGACCTCCTGCCAACACTACCCCTCCGAGAGGTCAATTTTCCCTCTGTCACTACCCGAGACCCAGGCCATGAAAAACTATATGGGTTAGACAAAAAAATGGGAACGCTGCATGATTTGCAGGTGTAAAAGTGACAACATGTTTCGTGTTGAAAGTGGAAGTGATGTAACATTCTCTTGCTTCCGCTGTGTGATGAGACACCTAGCTAACAGGTGGGAAGCCTCACTTTCGTCATTCACTGCGTACACTGCTAGTGATATAGAGTCATCTCAAAGCTTACTGAGCTTCAAAGAGGACAAAATGTTGGTGCCAGCTTAGCTGGTGCCTCTGTGACTAAAGGTGCCAATTTATTTGCTGTGTCGCACAGTACAGTATCAAAGGTTATGATGGCATATACTGGAAAAAAACGTCATCTGATAAGCATAAGCGCGGTTAACATGGTCAACTGACCGAAAGAGACAAGAGGACATTGTGCAGGATTGTGACCCAGAATAAGAAAACAACTGCTGCAAAAGTGACTGCAGAGCTCAATCTCAGTCTTCATGGGAGGGAGTCTTTCCATTGGCCAACAATGTCCGTGAGGTATATTAAGAGGCCTGTCTATTGACCATCAATATAAAATTGGTGAAAATGGGAGGGGTGCATAGAGATAGACATAGTGATAAGTACAAGTTATATTGTCAGCTTGTAAGGGGGGCTACAATTGGTTGGTTGTTGACGCCAAACTGCTAGAGACCCTGCTCCACTTCTTGGATATGACTAGAGATGAGCGAATCGAAGTAGGCGAAGTGGAATTCGCTTCGAATATTAGAAAAATTTCGATTCGAAATTTCGGAAACTTCGGATGCGCGAATCGAAATTTTTCCTAAAATGGCGGCGACATGTGCGGCGACGGAGCGGGGATGTCTGGGAAGGCGCGCAGACAAGGCGCGCTGACCCATATGCATTCATTCATGACATGTGATCGCATTAGCCAATCAGCAGCCAGCCAGCCAGCACTGTGTAATGGTCGAGCTATAAATGGTGGCCATTTTAGAATT